TCCGCTGCATTACACACAAGAACTCATGCGGTTGTTTATTTTCAACACTCAAGTTCATCAACTGACTTGATTGTCAGAGGAACCACGGGGGAACCAGTCCCCGTCCTCTCACGAACTGTTCTTTGTGTAGGCTCAAGCTACTAGACTTAGAACCGGTTATTCGGAGAAGGGAGCGGTCCCTCAACAACCTTATCCAACCATTTTTACTGACTATGTGATCAATTAACATCAACAATGATGATGTTGTAATTCAAAACTTTTTAAATTTTTAACGAAGCATTTTGTAATTTTCCAAGTTTGCAGAGGGTAGTTTTTGCAGATTTTAAATCTATAGATTTTAGTATATATGTTGCATCTTCAATTTTTTCTATGTGTTTCTTATGAATTTTAAATTGTTGAGGGTGTTTTTCATAACTATCAACCCTTATCATTTATCACAATATTGTAATTTAAAAATTATTTATATCAATTAGAATATGATAATATGTAATACGTAAAAGAATTAAGGATATTTTGTCCTTGAGAAGTATTTCCCTAACTTACACTTTTATAAGGTTTAGGTGGGATGCATACGCGTTGCACGGAGTCAAATATTTTAATTCTTTACTCTGAATTTACGTGTTTACCATAACAAACATTTTTATACACGTAATTTAAAAGAGAAAAAAAATAATGTGAGAGAAAGAGAGTTTTACCACTTGTTTTTATCAGCAATCATGAAGGTGGTGTATTATTAATAAAAAAAAAAGAATGATGCTTACATACCTGATAATAGAGAGTACTGGAGCAAACCACAAACTTAATGAAAAAAGAAATATATGCGAGAAAAAAACTAGGGAGACAAATAAATAAATAAATAAATAAAGTCTACGATCTTTGGCTTGTTGCTTCACAGATGAAGACATGTCTATATCAAGGCTTAAGCTACATAGTTACATGAGAGTTCTAGAATAACTCTAGCTCCTACTAATAAAGTAATTAAGACTCTAAACATAGCTCCTATAAAATAAACTCTCAAATATAACTTTACAGTGGTCAACTATTGTGATTGTTTATATCTTTATTGTAACTTGTTCGTGAAATAGTCTATAGTTACCAAATAACATATTGCACCAAATAGTATAATTTTTAAAACATCCACTTGATGATGATGACTGTTGATGACTAAGATCACACAGTCAATCGGATCCAGGAGAGGATAGGTTTGCTCTGGCCCTCGCTTAGAGTGAGGCAGATGAGATTGATGAAAGGGGCCACCTCCTTTCCCGACTTTATGCCTGGTTCTTCAATTGAGATATCTGATCATGCTACACGGACAAAGAAGAACTCATGAGAGGATGAGAACCGGTTCCCCCGTGGTTACTCAGACGATCAAGTCAGATAAAGAGTTTGAGTGGGGAAGGGAAAGGTCAAGGAAAGAACTCATGTGGTTCTTCTGTGCAATGTGTTCCCAGGAGGAGCTAGATTGCTAGAGCTCTTGAGAGCTAGCCCACCAACCTCCCTCTAAGTTAGGGTCATACCTGTATATATAATGGTGCAGATGGGCAAGTTGGTCATGTTTGGCTATGCATAGGAGGGCGGTGGCAAGGTGTGGCCTGGACACTGAGTCAGCCCTTTGCCTGACAGGTGTCGGCTGACGACTGGAAGAGAAGTCACTTCGGTATGGGAGATAAGCTCTCTGTATTTTTCGGGAAGTGATTGGTCATTGTAGTGTGCAGGATGGATTGTTGAGTCGGTTTTTACTTTACAGATGTCACCTGGTGGCTGGGTGAGAAGTCACTTCGGCATTGGAGAGGATGTCACCACGTTATCCGGGAAGTGATTGAGAGCATAGCAGGGGCATGCTGGCTGCTGAGTTAGGAAGACTGTTAGGGCTAGGGTCATGATGAGACCTGTCAATGAGAACTGTTGTGCTGACACGTTGTCAGAGGTGGGAAGCTGAGGCTCGGGATGAATAAGAGGTTATGCCCTTCAAGTCGCCTTTGCGATGTGTCGAATAGATAGTCTAGTGGACTTCATGCGAGTCTTCCTTGATGAGAGGGCCAACTGATACCTCTCTTCGAGTCAACACGGGTGGTATTAGGTCAACGAGTCGGCAGAGTTAGGACCTCTGGTTGGACGTAGGCTGCTAAGTGGATAGGGGGTCGTGTTTGCCTAAGCTTGGCAATTGCTTTATGAGGGAGTTACATTTTGAGTGAAAGAGAATACCATAACAGTTGGCCCCTTTCTCTTGGAGTCAACTTTGGTTGGGTTCGAGTGAAATAAGTTAGGCTTTGGGCCCTTTTAAATCCATTCAGAACGAGAAACTGAAGAGTCTCTTTTAAATATCATGGCTGACATCATCAGATGTCCCTTCTTTTGCCCTGGCTTCGTTTAGCTTGGCTGATGTCATCATGAATTTGAACCGCCTTTGCAAAAATCGAAGCGTCGTGGGGGTTTTGAGAGGATTTATTCCGATCTTTGAGCAATTAAAGAGGGTGATGTTTCATGCTTCGAGTAAAACCGTTTTAGATTCCAAGGTGGATCTTTTTTGGTTGTTTCGAGAGCACTGCGTCCCTTCAGATCAAGCCACGTGTCCCTAGGAAGCTATAAATAGCCTATTAGGGGCTGATAAGAGTTTTTTACGAACTCTTGTTCTGAAAATCCCCAAGATCCTCAGCTTTCTTCTTTCTTAGAACAAGAATACCTTTAATGGCTTCTCAAGCTTTGACCGGTGGCTGTAATGAGAAGAAGCTTGCTATTCTTTATCTTATCCGCTCGAGAGCTCTGAGAGCTTGTATCTCTTTTTTATTTTTTTTAAATGTTATCTAGGGTGAGTTAGTTGTGAAGTGTCGACCCGTAATGGGGGATAGTCAACTAGTTCACCTAATACCTTATGCTGGCTGAGTGTTTAATTCTTCAATTGTTAAGAACTTGGCAAATAAGTGACTAAGTTTTTGTGTCGAGACAATTCAGTCGAGCATTTAGAATTTGTACCTTAGGCTTGTGTAGGATGACCTGAAGCCCTTTTTTGGTAAAATGAAAACCTTGGTGTTGAGTACCTAGGTCTTACGAGGTGCCTAGGTCTTCGATATCCCCGTATGGTCGAAAGATGGCTGTGGGAGTCGACCATAGGGTTAGTGTCTTGGGTTTATTCCTAAAAAGGTACCAAGGGCTTGGAATTCGACTGAGGAGTCGAATGCCTAGAACTTATGGAAGTTGACTAGGTCTTTAGCAGCCTTGAGGCTGAATGACAAACCTGAGGTTGAGTGCCTAGGTCTTATGCGGTGCCTAGGTCTTCGATATCCCTGTATGGTCGAAAGACGACTATGGGAGTCAACCATAGGGTTAGTGTCTTGGGTTTATTCCTGAAAAGGAATCAAGTACTTGGAATTTGACCGATGAATCGAATTCCTAGAACTTATGGAAGTTGACTAGGTCTTTGGCAGCCTTGAGGCTAAATGACAATCCTAAGGTTGAGTACCTAGGTCTTATGCGGTGCCTAGGTCTTCGATAACCCCGTATGGTTGAAAGACAATTGTGGGAGTCAACCATAGGGTTGGTGTCTTGGGTTTATTCCTAAAAAGGAACCAAGGGTTTGGAATTCGACCGAGGAGTCGAATGCCTAGAACTTATGGAAGTTGACTAGGTCTTTGGCAACCTTGAGGCTGAATGACAACCCTAAGGTTGAGTGCCTAGGTCTTATGTAGTGCCTAGATCTTTAATATCCTCGTATGGTCGAAAGATGACTGTGGGAGTCGATCATTGGGTTGGTGCCTTGGGTTTATTCCTTAAAAAGTACCAAGGGCTTGGAATTCAACAAAGGAGTCAAATGCCTAGAACTTATAAAAGTTGGCTAGGTCTTTGGCAGCATTGAGGCTGAATGATAACCCTGAGGTTGAGTGCCTAGGTCTTATGCAGTGCCTAGGTCTTCAATATCCCCGTATGGTTGAAAGACGACTGTGGAAGTCAACCATAGGATTGGTTTTTTGTGTTTATTTCTGAAACGGTACCAATGGCTTGGAATTCGATTAAGGAGTCGAATGCCTAGCACTTATGGAAGTTAACTAGGTCTTTGGCAGCCTTGAGGCTGAATGACAATCTGAGGTTAAGTGCCTATGTCTTATATGGTGCCTAGGTCTTTAATATCCCAGTATGGTCAAAAGACGACTGTAGGAGTCGACCATAAGGTTGGTGCATTGGGTTTATTCCTGAAAAGGTACCAAGGACTTAGAATTCGATTGAGGAGTCGAATGCCTAAAACTTATGGAAGTTGACTAGGTCTTTAGCAGCCTTGAGGCTGAATGACAACCCTGAGGTTGAGTGCCTAGGTCTTATATGGTACCTATGTCTTTGATGTCCCCGTATGGTCGAAAGACGACTGTGGGAATAGACCATAGGGTTGGTGCCTTGGGTTTATTCCTAAAAATGTAATATGTGCTTGGAATTTGGCCAAGACTTGGCACTTCAAAGTGTGAGGTAGGAGTCAACCTATGTTTAGTAAGAATTTCATTGATATTAAAATTTACATTGTATGGGAAGTATCCGCCACAGGCGTCTGATGCTAAGGGGCGTTGAATACTTGATGTTCCTCCATTATCTTTGTTCCGAAGGTAGTTTTGTAGAATATGGGGCCACAAGTATAAAGCCTCTTTAATTAGATTTTGCTTTTTACGATAGCTGGTGACTCGTTGCTAAGTGATAATGAGTCGTAACTGTATTTGCCATCTCATCTGTCAAGGTTCCTCTTAGTTCAAATCTTCGTCGAGGTCTTGAAGGCAGACGGTTGGCGTGCCAGCTTTGACAAAGGAACTAGCCAGATGCCATAAGTTGTCTTGTGTGACGCCCCTGGGTTCACACAAGGCTGCAGTCCTTGGTGAAACCAAGAATGTCAAACTTGCCATGCACCACACCGTGCAATAACATGTTTCACCATCACAGTTCTATCACTCTAGTAGAGTCAATAACAGGTGTAGGTACAAAAAGCAAGTAAAAGATAATACAAGAGATAACTGATGGAATAATAGGGATCAAAATGCTATTTCATCATCCAACATGCAGATAGTACAAAAACAATGTCTGAAATGAATATACTGAGATTCTCAACAAGCCTCAAATACAACAAGTCTGAATGAAGAATATAAGGCGTACAGCCTTTACAACATCTATAGCATAGTCCTCAAATGTATAATACCAACTACAGTGGAGCCCAAAGAAATTATTACATAGCTAAAATGTAAAGCTAAACACTCCGTGCTCCTGGCTCGTGACCTGAAAGGGGGAGGGACAACGAGCGTCAAAGCGCTAGCGAGTAACATCACAACCAACCCCAAGGGAAAGGGCTTGTTGTATAAGAAAATACAATTAATATATAATAGATCTAAAATCATTGGTCTTGCTAAAGAGGGTTTTAGTAGTTAGAAGTTTACAACACGAGAATAGGTACGTCGAGCGAAATAATCCAGACAAGGAAACCCTCATGTATATACCTTATATCTCAAATTGGTAAACTCCTAATCACCAAACCCGAGGTTCTAATACAGGAACAATAATAAATGAAATACAGCAAATCTCAGAACACAAGCGCAGTACCATATCATAGTCTACATGAATGTCATGTCAAAATCATGTCGTGAACTTTTGTGAGAAGGTCATATGCAGGGTTAAGAACTATGTCCGAAACAGGAACTTTATAAGGTAGTTTCCAACTCATAGAATAAGTGGCAAATATCCTACACGAGGACTGAAATGGATTATAGTCCAACACGAGGACTGAAATGGATTATAGTCCAACACGAGGACTTCTATGGATTATAGTCCAACACGAGGACTGTGGCATAGAGGAAATATCGCTGTGATGTATATAATGAAGTCTACTTATATCAATCTACACTCAAACAGTGTATAAGTCTCCAAATCATACCCTCAGGTCATCTATCATGCATGGATTACATAGTGATACTAAATATCAAGGTCAGATAGTCCAGGCAAACCCCAGAACCTAAGTAATATACCCAAAAATATCCAGAACAGAAAATCACAACAGATAGTGCGGCGGTCGACCGCACCGGTCGACCGCACTCTGGTATGCGACTGGCGGTCGACCGGAAAAACGTCGCGGTCGACCGAAAATAAATCGCGGTCGACCGAAATAAATTGCGGTCGACCGGAAGAACGTCGCGGTCGACCGAAAATAAATCGCGGTCGACCGAAATAAATTGCGGTCGACCGGAAGAACGTCGCGGTCGACCGAAAATAAATCGCGGTCGACCGAAATAAATTGCGGTAACCTGAAACAAAAATCTTAAAACGAATACCCATCTTTATGGAAATGTTATGCAGCAGTAAAACACGAATTTAAACCTTTAAAACTTGGTCAACAAGATCCCATATATATATAAACATGATCTACCCATTGTTAACAAAAAAAAAAGGTTTTTACTTCTTTAAGCTAGATTCAGATCTAGATCTTTTAAACAGGAACCATTAGTGAGTTTTGAGAACAAAGAATACACTAATCTCATACTTTATGCCATAATGTTCTATTAGCTATTCAAAAATACGAATTTGGCTCAATGAAACTCAAAAAAAACTCAGTTCTTGACATGAAAACGAAAGGGGTGGGGGTTGGGCGAGAAGTTACTCGCCTTGAGTGTTGGTAACTGCTCTGGAGATGGTTCTCTTTCGATCTGACCTGCAAACTCCCACTAAAACTCCTCCGAACTCCTCAAAGATCACCAGGTCTAGTTAGGGTTTTTGAGAGGGGAGAGGAAGGGGGCTAGGGTTTTGGTTTGAATTCTGAGGGAGGCTCTCTCGTGAACAGTAGCATATATATACTCACTTACAAACCCGACCCGAAACCCAAAGACCCGAAACAGAACCGTAAAAGAAAACGAAGCCTGAAACTCTCTGTACGCTGGTCGGTCGACCGCACCGGTCGACCGCCACGGTCGACCGCGTCGGTCGACCGCTCAGCACAGAAATGCCTTCTGTAGGCATTTCACCTGCTGGCCATATACCACTCGATTTCTCTCACTTGTATACACCTGCTGGGTTCCCAAACCCTGGTAAAAAAAATATACATCTTATATATATATGGTTATTTATCACCAAAGAAAGATTTATTACTATTTATTCACACCATTTCATTATAAAATTTCGGGGTTTTACATCTTGGATGGCGTTTTCCTGGTCGAGTTTGTGAGGGCTGGGGGCACGACCAGAAGATACTAGGCATTTTTTTGATGGAAATTCTCTTGGAGAGAGAATCCAATAGCCGGTATTATACACCCTGTAAATGGAAAACCATAGTGGTTTTCTTGAAGGAATGTCGGGAGTAGTAGGTGCTAGACCATCCTGTGGATGGAGAGATCTTCCTTGCGAGGATCATGCGAGTCACATGCTTCGACCACAAAAGCTTATGTGACTTTTGTGGTGGAATTTTTCTGAGAAATACTTAAGAAGCTGGAACTGTTCCTTCCAACAAGTTTGACCAGCTGGCAGGCTTCGAGTTTTTCCCGCAATCTCATCCCCGGGGAGCTGGAGTTGCTCTCTTCAGAACCATGGTGGTTTTCACGAAGAAGCGTTGGAGGTAATGGGAGATCTTCCATTGTGTAGATGGTTACTTCAACAAATTTTCCCAAAATGGTTGCTATGGCTGCGGAGGAGTATGACTATGTCGACTCTCCACAGCCAAGACCAAACCTCCTTAGCTTGGATGACACAACTCCGAACCCCGTTTCGCTTAGATGACACAACTTTGATGTTTTTTCTTCAAGGTGAGCAAGATCGAACCTTTATCCAGAACTTGACGTGCCTTCTTGAAAAAGAGAGAAGGCCCCACGGTGGGCGCTAAACTGTTGATGACTAAGATCATACAGTCAATCGGATCCAGGAGAGGATCGGTTTGCTTCGGCCCTCGCTTAGAGTGAGGCAGAGGAGATTAATGAAGGGGCCCGCCTCCTTTCCCAACTTTACGCCTGGTTCTTGAATTGGGGTATCCGATCATGATGCCTAAGTGATAATGAGGATCGATTGATGACTAAGATCACACAGTCAATCGAATCCAAGAGAGGATCGATTTGCTTCGGCCCACGCTTAGAGTGAGGCAGATGAGATTGATGAAGGGGCCGCCTCCTTTCCCGACTTTACGCTTGGTTCTTGAATTGGTGTATCCGATCATGATGCACGGATAAAGAAGAACTCATGAGAGGACGGGGACCGATTCCCCCGTGGTTCCTCCGACGATCAAGTCATATAAAGAGTTTGAGTGGGGAAGGGGAAGGGGAAGGTCAAGGAAATAACTCATGTGGTTCTTCTGTGCAATGTGTTCTTAGGAGGAGTTAGATTGCTAGAGCTCTTCAGAGCCAGCCCGCCAGCCTCCCTCTAAGTTAGGGTCATACATGTATATATAAAGGGGCGGATGGGCAGGTTAGTCATGTTTGGCTATGCATAGGAGGGCGGTGGTAAGGAGCGGGCTAGACGCTGAGTCAGCCCTTTGCTTGACATGTGTCGGCTGGCGACTGGAAGAGATGTCACTTTGGCATGAATGATAAGCTCTCCGCATTTTTCAGAAAGTGATTGGTCATTGTAGTGTGCACGCTGGACTGTTGAGTCAGCTTTTACTTTACAAATGTCACATGGTGGCTAGGTGTGAAGTCACTTCGACATGGGAGAGGATGTCCCTACGTTATCCACGAAGTGATTGAGAGCGTGGCAGGGGCACGCTGGTCATGATGGGACCTGTCAATGGGAACTGTGGTGCTGACATGTTGTCAGAGGTGGGAAGCCAAGGCGGTTATTATCCTTCGGGGTTAATAATAGGTTCCACCCTTTAAGTCGCCTTTGCGAGGTGTCGAATAGATAGTCTAGTGGACTTCAGGCGAGTCATCCTTGATGAGAGGGCCGACTGATCCCGCTCTTCGAGTCGACACGGGTGGTATTGGGTCAACGAGTCGGCGAAGTTGGGACCTATGTCTGGACTTGGGCCGCTAAGTGGATAGGGGGCCGTGTTTGCCTAAGCTTTCCAGTTTCTTTATGAGGGAGTTATATTTTGATCGAGTGAGACTACTATAACAATGACAAACATTCTTTCTTTAACAAATAGTTATATTTATATAAAGTTGATCATATAAAACGTGTGTGTGTATACACACGCAAAAGAGTTGAACCTATTTCTAGACAGACGGAATCTATTATCCTCCCAGTTCGTTTGGGTCATTATTAAGTCGATTGATGATTTCTTCTTCTAACCTCAAAATTATTTTTCAAACCCTTCTAAAATGAAAGGTATGTTTACTAATTAAATCCATTATCTTATGTGATTCAAGAACATACTTATTTTATGTTAAAACTTCCTTAATTTTATTATACAGAGATGTGTAGCTATGTTATAATTAATAATTCTTATTTGTCACCATCCAAAATACCATCCTCTACCAACATCTCTATGGCACATAACAAATATAATCAATACTCATAGTTACCCATTATTGTCTCCATTAGGCTATGTACTATTATTAGCTAAGCAATTAACCTATATAATTAAACAGCACAGTACCTATCATTTTTAACATAATATTACCCAACATAGAAACTTTGAATGGCCTGCTATAATTAAATTAGAAATAGAACAATCCAGGAAGTGATCACTCATCAACCGTTAGGAAAACTCAAAGAAATCAGACTCTATACACTAAACACAACAAGGGACATTTGCATCATAATTACCAACTAAAACCTATGGCTTACCAACATAGAAACTTTGACGGTTATTCTCTGTTCAACTGATTTTAAAGCAACATACACAATACATGTTATAACACACATGTTAAAGTATAGAAATAGTACCTGCATCCCAAACTTTTAACTTGCAATCCAAACGTGCATCTGGCAAAGAAGAAGATAACAAAGAAAACTTCTAATAACTTTTCAAAACAAATTAAGCTTAATTTAGTGAATTACTAGGAATGGATGCTTTTCAAGGCAAGCACTAAAAGTGCAATCTTGTTCTTCTGAACTGCACAACTATATATATAATTTCCTTATTTCATCTTATTAGGTTTAGTACTATTCATTGAAGTGTAAATAAATTTATGAAAATTTCTAAAGTTTTAAATAATTTATAATAATAATAATTTAGAAGGATTGCATCTGACAGATGTTAGACTGAATATATGGAAAAAGCAGGTCATCATCTAGACCTTAGATTGGGTTTTAAGAAGTTATGTCTAGATCGAGCTAGCGTAGAAGCTATATAAACGTCAACATGAACAATAACCTGCATATATAGCTCCACAAAATTTACGAAGGAAATCTAAACGTCAACATGAACAATTTCAAGTTATAAAACGTCCACAATAAGATAGAAAAATAGAACAAAAGCTCCAAAGAATACATACATATAAGCAAGTCTCGGATTCGATCATGCCTAATACTTCACAGCTAGCCTTAGGAACTATCATTAAACAATGGACTCAAAAATAAAAATAAAAATGTTATTACCCAAAATTGCTACAAGATAGCAGGCCGTGGCACATTTAGACTACTGCTAGTAATCCTACCTCGTTTTGAATTTGGGATTCATGAATTTGCACGTAATGTAAATATATAGGAGGGGGCTATGGTAAAGATAGATCTTTAAATGGAAAACATAACTATTTCCAAAAAAGGAAATAGAGTTCTAATTACAGTTCAGTTATTAATTTACAGACAAGCAAATTTGTGGATAATTTGTTTGTAGAGAGGATTATTTGATTAGGAACGACTGAAACGAGCCCTGAGTGGCCAAGAAATTCTCGTGAAGATGCTAACTGCGAAGTTTATAACAAACAAAACACTCTAGCCGTCCGAGAATAGACAGGGCCACGTGGGTTTCTGACTCCATTTGTAAAATTACGAGAAGAGGGGATTTTTAATTTTATCCCCCTCGTGCACCGTGCGCTCAATGGACCGTAGGAGAAGAGTGGATTTTTAATATTGTTTATCCTCCTCGTGCACCATGCGCTCAACGGACGGGGGATTTATGGTATTGTTTATCCTCCTCATGCACCGTTAGTATTGTTTATTCTCCTCGTGCACCGTTACATCGCGTTATGCAAGTCTAATGAAAAACATCTTAATCATTTGTTGATACATATTCATTTATTAATCTGATTATGTCGCTCAACATGACAAGATTTTTAAATTTATTTTTATTATCAATGGGGGTGTAATTGGAAATTATGTAACTAATTTGATTCCCACTTGAATGAGAATGACCATTCCTCATCAATTCACTTACGCCCCGTTTGGTACGTGGGAATGAAGTCAAGTAAGAATGGAATGGAAGAAGAAGAATGGAATGGAATGTATATGAGAATGGAATGGTCATTCACATTCTCTTGTTTGGGTGTGTTTGTAGAATGAAGCTAGAATGAAAATCTAATTCTCATTCCCATGTTTGGTATCACTAGTTCACAAGTGAGAATGGAATCTTATTTTCTAATAATGCCCTTATAACAACATAGATTTTTATAAGATAAAAATAAATATTAATGATAATAACTAAAAATTTTATTTCTGTATATGTTATATTAATCTAGGTATGTGTTATAATAATGCACTTATACCTCTATATATAGTCTAGACATGATACGGTTTTGATAATTTTAATATTTTGACCAATTTCTCAGCGAGAGTTTCCACTTTTCATAAATATTGGGTCATATATTTTTTAATGAAAAGTTAGATTTATTATTGTGCATGAACCACAATCAAACATGTACGCAATGGGTACATATAGTTCTCTATGGTGGGAAAACAATAGCAAAAGTTCAAAAAGAATATAATATGCTGGTGAAAATAACAGACTTTAAACATTGGTGAATAAACAAAAAAATTTGATTGACCAAAAAAATATTGACATGAAAGAATTTCAATCGGTAAATAATATATAGTTTCAGTTGTGTCTGTTTTTATATTAAATTGTGTTGCTCCTATATTGAGCAATTGTGATATAATAGGCTAATGAAATATGTACCGCTAGTTTTAATATGCTACTGAAATATGTACCACTATTTTTAATCTCTACCCCGTAAAAAATTCCTATTGTTCGAATATAATTAGTAGCTGAGAGAAAATGAGAATACGTAGTCAAAAGCCATGAATTTTAAATTGATTCTTATTATTAATATGGGTATAATTGAAAAAAAAACCTAACTAATTTGATTCTTCCCTTGAATGGGAATGATCATTCCCTATCTTCTCACTTGGAATGTCCATTCTCACAAAAAATGGTAATGACCATTCCATGGGAATGGTCATTCCAATATCTAAAAACAAGTTTTGTTTGGTATGAGGGAATGAGAAGTGAGAATGATATTTCATTCCACCCTATTCCCTCTTACCAAACGGGGCCTTAGAATGCTTATTCCCACAAAAAGTGAGAATGAGCATTCCTTGGAATGGGCATTCCAACTTCTAAAAAATGGTTATGTTTGGTATGGGGGACTGAGAAGTGGGAATGGTCATTCCATTCCACCCCATTCCCGCGCACCAAACGAGGCGTTAGTACTGTTTATTTTTATCGTACACTTATAGTATTGTTTATCCTCCTCGTGCGCTCAATGGACGAGGATGTGGACGTGGGCTTTTTAATATTGTTTATCCTCCTCGAGCGTTCAATGGACAAAACACAATAAAAAAGTTTGGGTTAGTAGGATTGGGTATGGGTCGGATCGACCGGTGGACTGATCTTGCCCAACCCGTCATGGGTCACGACTTGGCCCAGTCCGTAGAAGGCCGAGACCGACCTGGCTCATGATATATCCTAGTCACGGGACGAGCTGAGTCCAGCCCCAAAACTCGAGACTAGAGAAATAGGCCCGGCCCTCCATTGATCCGTCTATGCCTAGCCCGACCAACTATTGACTCAAATTGATATAGAAGAACGGTCACAAGAACAACAAACAAAGCATTATCTTAAAAAAATTTGACGAATATAATACGGAGGAATTTGGCTCCTTGAACATTAATAGTTAACATATTTTTTCCCTCTTGTATTTATAATTTAAATTTAACTAAAGAAAAGTTATTAACTTTCCGTGGATGTAGGTCTTCCTTCAGAGTCCATACCACGTATATCTTTGTATTTGTGCTATTTTTCTTTGTGATATTTATCTTTGTGTGTGTGTGTGTATATATATATATATATATATCAACTATGGGGGTCATCTCAGAACATCTCCTTCAACTATTTTAACTCTAGAAAACTACCCACAATTATGTAGTCCTAGTAGGTAACCCCCTCTTTCCAAATATGATTTATTCTCCCTCAACTTTTCTCACTTAACCCCCTAAACTAATACAATTAAAATTTAAAGGATTAAATGATTTAAAATAACCATACTATGTCTAAAACATTAAATATTTTTACCACAGTATTCCTTTTAACTTTTTTGGTTAAAAATAATTCTCATTTTATTTCCCCTCTTTTTTTTACTCCTCCATCTTCATTGCTAGGTTCACGTGCAAATCTAATTTTTCTTTCTTTTTTTTGAAGAAATTTGTAATAATTTATTTTTAAATACCAATTACACATATGATGATGACAAGCGGGCAACAAGCTGCGTCGCTAATCCTTTTTAAATTGTAAAACCCAACCTACGAAACACATACTCAGCGGACCCTACTGTCACCACATTCTTATTCATAAATTTTTGTACCCTCCTGAGGAACTCCACCGCATCAGCTGCAAGGAAACCAAACGTATCAAAAGCGAACGGGATGAAGTTGTAATGGTTGTCCTTGCAAGTTTGATCATGTTTACCCACCTTTGCCTCTGCTGCTCTATCTGATGCATGCCTAACCTTGAACTCTCTATTACCAAACCCCACCAACGGAGACACCCCTGTGAGATCAACACAAGCGTGCTTTTCCCCGTTCTAATTGTAGATAAGAATGTCTGCCGGCCTAAGAGTAGATCTAGCTTCTCTAGTAGGAGTGAGGAAGTTGACTGTGCTTCCTTCTTTGATGGGATCCCTGCTCTTTGGAGGATATCATACAAGACATCTCTGACTAAGTCGTGCCTGTACTTGAACCCCGACTGCTTCTAACAGTGGATGACATGCTCTCCAAAAGTATTAATCTGCGTTCTATGACAAACTGGGCACACTGTCCCCTCCACGAACAAAGGAACCAACAACCTGTACCTGAGGATGGCCTGGTACTCCCCTAAAGTCATACGCTACCCCAATCCCTCAATAGGCGTGGCCAACAAGAAATCTTGGGTGTACTTTGCCCGTAGGCACTCAACAATCGCAACCTGCCTCTCTGAAAGGTCAAACTCCATCGATAGATCTCTACAAATGCCTCCATAAAAGATGTCTGCCAAGTAATACATTGGTTTTAGGGGGACAGACACTTTAGTGGTGATTTGAAGAAGATCAACCTCATGTAGCTTAGCTTGAAGAAAGGCCCGAGCAGTAGTAAAATTCCCACATAAAGAAACCTCACCACAACCTCTCAAAATGTGGTCTTAGCTCAATGGAGTGAATCCGAGATGCCACAAAAGAAATCTGTATGGCATCAGCCGTTGCATAAACCCCCAACCTGCCCGCCTTGATAGGTAAAGAGGCCAGCATCTATTGTAGATCCCCGAAGCCTGGGCCTTCGGATGTGACAATGCTCTCGACTGACCTCCGAAGCGCAATATCAAACTGAGTCGCCACCTGAGCAAAGAGCTGTGGTGGGCAAGTCCTCAAGGAGAAATACAACTTGGATAAACCTGCACAAACCCTCAAAAGGACGAGCTCGCACTATGGATCCCTAAGTTGGTCCAACGCTTCCATTAACTGAGTCGCCTTTGCCACCCTCTTTGCTGCTAACCCACCAACAAACCCCTCATCCATGCTAACTGCTCCACCTAAAAGCCTGACTCCATCGCGAGGCCGACTGATATCCGAGGGAAAAAGCCCCTCCAATAAACTCCTAGGATCCGGTGAGGGCCAGAATAATTCAGTTTTTGTGACATTGAGGTCCAACCCGAGCCTTGGGCCTTCGGTCTCGATCACCTTATATGCCTTAGTAATCTCCAAAGTATCCTCGACCAAGGACCCATCGTCCAAGTACCAAGCATGAAGAGACAACTTGCACTCTTCCTGCACTCGTAGAATCAACGGGTGAAGCGTGAGCGTGGACAATAGAGGCCCTAACGGATCCCCCTGCTGAATCCCCCGAGCAGACCAAATGAAATCCACCCCTAAATATAGTCTAGTAGGCTGCACATATAGAAATTCCACCCAATGAGAGATCGCCGAACACTTAAGGTGTACTTCTCGCAACATACTACTCATGTCGACCAAATTAAATGCATTCCGAAAGTCGACCAAAAGCATGGAGAGTGAGTCCTCCGCATGGTGGACATCAACGAACCTATTAACTGCATGCAAAACTGCTTCTGCCCCTCTTGAGATTCCCACACCAAACTAAAAATCTCCCAAATAACTCGTCATGTCCTTCCCCACTTTCTTCATGGCCACTTTAGAGACGAGACGCCTCCAAATGGTACCTACGGCAATCGGCTTTATGCCCCGTCACTTTTCAACAACGGAGTGAGGTGAGCACTAGCAATAAACTCCGCCAAGGAGGTCGGACAAGTGATAATACTCTTGCAACCACAAATTAACCACTGGAGTGAGAGACGCGAGAAGGTCGTTAGCAATAGTGGACTCTGGACCACAAAGTGCATTTATTAAGTGCTGAGCACGAAGGCCATCACAACCACAAG